AAATCGAACATTGGTTAGACGTTATCAGTAAAGTAAATTTTACTTATTTTGGTGCTGCCACGTGGTGGCTACAAATTGTGCTAGTATCGGGACATGTAGCCTTAAGCGACTCTCACATTACTCAACTAAAAAGAAAACGAAAACGATGGATGCATTTTTTTAAAAAACTGCAAGCTGTCGCAGGTGCTTTATGTAAAGCTCTCCCCAAATTAAAATATCGCTTTCAAATTCAAGGGGTTGCGGCATCAACCAGATCGATAGGAGAATATCAATATTCTCGGCTGAAGGGTTTTCAAATCGGCAGAAGGGTTTAGCCGCTAGCGTTGTTCACAGACAGACGGACAGACAGACAGACACATTTTGTCGTCGTTCGATTTATCGGTATCAAAGACCCACAAAACATGGATTCTGGCTAAATCACGCGATAAAATATTTTTCTTCTTCTAAATTTAGCAACTGGATTTATCCAGTTTTACGTTACTAGGACCCTGTAATAAGAGTTTTTGTGCAGAAAATTGGCGTTTCTTTCGTGCAGCATAACAAAACTTTCTCTTTACTCCATAGCGAAAAAATACTATTAATGCAACCTACTCTGTATCTCCTTTACCAAGGAATTTGAGTCTTCTTCACGTTGGCGACGTAACCACGAGGCATTTGCGGATGCGCCCCGTGGTAGAGAGTCGTGTTCGCAACGCACGCCCCGCTGCGGTTGCAGCCTCAGCAGCGTCGCCTCTCCCCCTGCGTGTGGCACACCCTCGCATGCAGCATCGTCACGCGAGTCCAATTCCACCACTAGCTCTTGCTTTGCCCCTGACGCTTAGTAAGAGTGCGAGTGCATTACGCAACCCGCAGTACTCTCGCGTATTATGGTACTAGAGGTTGCCACTTTTAGGGGCAACGTCTCTCTCGCTCTCGCTCTCTCCCTCCTGTTCTCCCCGTCTCCCTCTCCCTCCCTCCCCCCTCTCTCCCTCTCTCTCTCTCTCTCTCACACACACACACACATTCTCCTCGCTCTCTCACTCTCCTCTCTTTCTGAGGCCCGTCTACGTGGGGCAGAGTTAAACACTAATTTAATTGTTACGCATTCTGAATTATTTCAAATTGTCAGCCTTCAAGCAACTCGCGTGTATTTTGCAAATGTACACTCCCACCAGAGATATGACATAATATTCTGGGAAAGCTCATCTTGTAGTACTTAGACCTTTAAATTGCAAAAGAAAATTATTCGACTAATGAGAAAACGCGATCCCTGCAAGCCTCTTTTCATTGATCTTGGAATCTGCCTTGCTTATTTATTTACGAATCTGTAATTTTTGCTAAAACTGACAAAATTAACGATGGGATCATATTTTCTAGTTTGATATTTATAATTACAACACACGTCGTAAAAATCAGTTCATCAAATGTCAGTATCAACAGCTCACTACAAGAAATCCACATACATGTATGTTACTTTACAACGCATTGCCAGATGACATCAAACAATTACAGTCAGCACACAAGATTAAGTTAAAAGTAAAATCTTTTCTGCTGCATAACTGTTTCTATACACTTAGATACTGTACTGATTATCAAAAAGAAAATTAATGTTTATTTTAACAAAACTAAATTAGTTTACATTTGTATTGTATAATTTTTAAAGACTTAATATGTTTGTAACAAATAATGTGCTTCAGCTTCCGGGTCAGTGACCCCCCATCTTGATCAGGTTTTTGTCTAGTTTCCCTCATCCATTGACCAAATGCTGAGATGGCCCTTTGTTTTGCTTCTGGGCGTAAATGTAGCTTCATTATGGGCACGTTTTGTTGAACTCTCCTTTTGCTTGTAATGGTAAGAGTATAGCTGAGGGTGAGTTAATATTTTGTTAGCAATGCAGAAAAATCGAATCTGCAATTCGTTTACCATTGAAAATAAGCTTTCTTTAACTCAGAAACGAAAATATCTAGTTTTCAAATGTTGCTCGCGTTTTTTAGTTTTATTTTTATTAATTTTGTTTGTTTTTTCAAATTTTTAATTCATCTCTCAACCAAATACAGTTAATATGTTAGGAAGGGATTCTGGAACTGAAGAAAACGTGCGCAGATGTCACGTCACGTGCAGTTTTTACTTTTTTTTGACCAGATAAACAGTGTGTCCGACTAGTCGCCGAATTTATAACTAATACCTCCACTCCTCCCGCATTTCTTCAATCCAAAGGTCAAGAAAAATTGCGCGGTTATAACTCCCGTAGTCCGAAATATGGCGTCACGGCAAAATGTGTCGCAGGAGTTAAATGCAAGTGGCATGCGTCCACTTTTTCTAATGATTATGCAGTCACGAAAGATAATTTCTTGAATATCGTGAATTAAAATATATAATCTCAGGCATTACTTTTTATCTTATTGTATTTCTGCTTTATTCACAATTATTACGAAAGAACTTACGGTAAACTTTGTTATACTTACTTAATATATTATAATGTCTTTTTTATTTGAATTTTCTTGACCTTAATAAAGCTGAATTTTTAACAATTTATTTCATGTTATATTTTACATTACGGCCCTATTTGGGGTCTTTTTCAAAAACGAACCTAAAAATATAAGGTAAATTATATCCAATAATATCTGATAAAATGATGCATTGAGAGGAACTGATTAATAAATCATAAAAATAAAAACAAATGACATCATAAATAATAACATTTAGATAAAAAACAATTTTATTGACTATAACTTACTTTACATTTTTAGATTGAATCGTTAAATATAACATGAAATAAATTGTTATAAAAAACTCGATCTGTTTTATTAAAGTCAAAAACCTTACAATACCAATACATTACAATACCTTATAATACACGTACAAACCTTACAATAAAATTACTTAATATATTCAAATTCACACAACAATTCATTTACAATTGCAACAGTGATGTTACCATTGGCAGTGCTACTGAATCTGATATTAAGATGAAATGGTGTAATAGTACAGCTTTCTGCTGTTATCCAGCTGGTTGATAGCAAGGACGTTGGGGCGATTCTCAAGCCTGTGTAGATGTCTGGAACTGTAAATTGTTATTAAATACTTCTTCAATAGTTTGTACCTGCAAGTCTCTACGAATAATTGTATTTGAAATGACTTGACTGAAATGTTTTCTACTGAAAACTTTGTAGAATTGCAATGTCGGAATGACTTGCAAGATCACGTAACTGAATACCAAAGGTAAATTGGCATTGATTGCACTTTATATTGCCAAATATTGATTTTAGAGTGTCAAAGAGGGCTTGCAACCCAGAAACTAGTACAGTTTTCAAGCCTAAAATCCAATTCTTTTCTTTAGTTGTTTTAAGCTTTATCCACGTTAATCTATCGCATTTATGCAGGTGTGATTAAGGATGTAATAAAACGCGTATTCTTATGGATTCATAATAACACTTTTTTGTCAGGAAAATTGCAGAAAATAGAGATAATTTTTAAACACCTATAAATATTTATTTAAATTGTTGTCTCAAAAGTGTTACAATACTCCTATTTTATGCAAGAAATCTTAGATATAATTACATTTATTATTCATATTAATACAGTGCGCCAGGAAAATCCCTGCGCACAGTGTCGAATTAGGGCTTCCTGTTAAAAAGTGCATTTATGTTGGTAGAACCAGGTCACTTGTAAACAAGGGGACAACCCTTCCAGCATCTATTCCAATTGTGCTAAGTACGCAAATTACACTCTCTTTTGTTATAAGCTGCATCTCGTGCAACCAACATAATTTCTGAGAGCGTAGGTTTCCGCGGCCGGAGTCAGTATTTAATTGGCTGACTGGGTGATACCGCGTCCATGGCAAATGTACCGACGTTTCGGTCGCCATTCTGAGACCTTCCTCAGGGCGTAATGCGCGGAGATGTACTGCGCACGAGTTAAAATAGGGCGAAGTTCCCCCTCTACCCGTGTGCCGGTTGGCCGGGCGGTCGGCTAATGCGGAGAGAGTGCACCGGCCAATCAGGGGCGGGCTTCTCGCGGGGTGAGAGAAAGCGCTCCGTCCGTAATCGGACGTTGCGGAGCAGCTAGGACCGCGTCGGCAGCTTTGCCATGGACGCGGCGTCAATCGGACAGCCAATTTAAAAAAACAACAACATAATTTCTGTTGCTAGCACTCTCACCAGGAGGACGCCACTGCGGAGGGACTTTCCTGGCGCGCTATAGTAATATTTTTGCAATGCTTCATGCTAACACCGGATGTTGACTCAAACGTCTAAGACATTTTAATTTTATCCTCCTTGGATATCGCATTATAATGGAACATATTTCTTTAATACTTATAATAGTATTAGCATGTGGCAATAATTAATTGTTCATTTTAAGTGGAGAGTAAGTATTCTTATTGATGGTTAAAGGTTATTGAGTAGACTAGGATTCATTCTTGGATTTCATACTTTCCCTCTCTACTTTTTACATTTCATTGATAACTTATTTAAATGTTGCTCGAGCAATTTCTTCAAGTTTTTTCGCGGTTTTCGTGAGTGGTTAAAACAGCCGTGCGCCCTTATCCTTTTGACTATGTTTCCAGGAGTAGCTAAAGTTGTTGTAGATTATAGATGATCGATTATAGCACGCTATCTGATGACATGTGAAATTTACCAGAAAATATTATTGATGTTTCATTCGAAAAAAAACTATTTTTCAGGTAAAAGTGATTTTAAATTGATGTACAATTCTAGCAATTCTACTGAAACATTTTGATTTTATATCAAAGCCCCTTGTGACAAACTTCACCACAAGCTGGGATGACATGAATTAAGGTGGCAGAACGGAATGTATTTTTGACTAAGCTTCTTTATTTATTAAAATTTTGTTACTTAACTTTGAGCCGGTTCCATCTTCTTCTAGTAAACGTCCGAATTTAAAAAAAGGCGAACAGATTAGCAAAACACCTGTAAATATTTTCCCATTATTCTAATGAAATGACTTCTAATTGTTTGATGGTATATTTGCGTTCTGCTTTTTCCTCGGATGTTTTCCACTTTCTCACTGCGATTATGATTCGGTAGTAAGCCACTTCTAACAAAAGTAGAACGACAGCTAATCCTTGAATCAGAGCGCATGCCACGAGAAGTGGGTTTATATTCTCCATGATCACTTCGGGCATTACGTTTTCCACCGGGGGCAAATTCTTTCTCCGCGCTTTGTCTAGAAGACGCTGCAACAACCCTCCGCACCGCATCATGTTGAGTCTGAAAAATGTTGTAAAGAGTATGAGCATGAATTACTCTGAAAAAATTCGCGACGCCTATCCCGTACATAAAAGAATCGATCCTCTACCTCATGAAAATGGAGAACCGCTAACGCGAACTCCAGAACGACAGACATAATATTGGATATGTATAAAAGTGTATAATAAGTACAAGTGGAGTCTTCGGAGCGCAAAACATTCAATGTATTTTTTATGCTAAAATACTTTGTGCGATACAGTCAGCAACAGTTACATAAAGTACATTAGGTGTGGAGGTGGGGCAATTTCATTCCGACCCCCCTCCACTAAATATGTTGAAAAAGTTGAGGTGCGGTCGCCTTAACAATTTACAATTTCGGCTTCCCAGGTTGCAAAATTACAATTTGTTACTTGCAAATATTTAGTTAAGTGTTTATATTTGAAACTTCGGTTAGTTAAGTCGTCCTATTTATAACTCAACTACATTTAAAACATATTCAAAATTTATCACCAAGGAAGTGTTCTGCCGGGGTTCCTAGGGAGACCCAGATATTTGAGTGACCTGATGTTGTTTTCGGATTAGCAAAAACCTACATGTCAGTTGGGAAGACTGACAGTTCTAGAGGAGGATGCGAGTGCGACGGTTTCAGTGTTCACCTCGGTATTGATACCGCCTGATCAAATAGGCGATTAGGGGCAGCGTTACACTGAAAAAAAGGAGTCAGAGCCGTCAGAGCCTGCCAGCGTGCCTCGGTCGCTACTGGTCGCTACTGGTCGCTACTGGTCGCTA